AACCCTAAAACACTCAAAACCCCTAAAAAAACCCTAAGAACCCAAAGCGCCTAAAACCACCCAAAAACCCCTAACAACTCTAAACAGCACCTAAAACCCCTAAACAACCCTAAGTTTGCACCTTGCTCGCTACTCGCGGGGCCGCCATGCCTCAGCGTCGGAGGGTCGTCCTTGCCTCGAAGAACGACCTGAAGGCACTTCTGGGGTTGAGGGGTTTAGGGGTTTAGGGGTTTAGGGTTTAGGGGCAGTTGGGTAGTTACGGGCAAAGTACGCGCAGAAGGACACCGAACAAGAAGTTAATTTCGTCGCTGGACCTATAGTCATCCTACACGATGTAGCGACCCACGAACCTCCAAGCATTTGTGTGTAGGTACCTCGGCCTTTGCAGGAGGTGTTGGTGCAGGGCTCAGGATTTTGGTTTGAGGGGTTGCGAGGTTCAGGGTTCGGGGAACCCTACACCCTAAACCCTAAACCCTAAACCCTAAACCCTAAACCCTAAACCCTAAACCCTAAACCCTAAACCCTAAACCCTAAACCCTAAACCCTAAACCCTAAACCCGAAACCCTAAACCCTAAACCCCAAGGTGAAGGAGTTCTCCCGCTCCTTGGCCAACTATGACATCGAGTGCGTGCGGGACCCTGAGGCCGCCCTGCCGCGAGGCTGCAGCTCTTGGGTTGGGGTTTAGGGTTTAGGGTTTAGGGTTTAGGGTTTAGGGTTTAGGGTTTAGGGTTTAGGGTTGAGGGTTTAGGGTTGAGGGTTGAGGGTTGAGGGTTGAGGGTTTGAGGGTTGAGGGTTGAGGGTTGAGGGTTTAGGGTTGAGGGTTGAGGGTTGAGGGTTGAGGAGGGTTGAGGGTTGAGGGTTGAGGAGGGTTGAGGGTTTAGGGTTGAGGGTTGAGGGTTTAGGGGTTCATGGTTCAGGGTTCTTAGGGGTCAGCGCTTTAGGCTTGAGGGGTTGGGTTTACGACCCCAAAGCGCTTAGGGTTAAGGGGTACCAGCTCTGGCACGCCCAGGTCCGATGAGAAAATCTGGGAGACGCTGCATGTCCGCGGCGAGGACAGCGGGATGTGGCGTCTGATGAATTTAACTTGGTTTAGGGTTCAGGGTTTAGGGTTTAGGGTTTAGGGTTTAGGGTTCAGGGTTCGGGGTTTAGGGTTCAGGGTTCGGGGTTTAGGGTTCAGGGTTCAGGGTTTAGGGGTTAATGAACTTTAAGAGCCTCCGGCTCATCATGCCACCGACCTCGCAGGCGCTGCAGTTCATCCCAACAAAATGCGTGAATGCCCGGAGCGTTCGCGGGATACCCTGACACCTAGATCCTGAACCCCGAACCCCGGACCCAAACCCTAACCCTGACCCCTAATTAAAACGGGGGAAATCCCGATCCTCACACCGTAAACCGCAGGTACGAAACCCGAAGCCTAGGCCCCGAGCCCAAGACCCACCCCTTGAAGGGCTCCTCGCGCGAGCCCGGACCTAGCGGGCAGAAGAATGACGACTGGGGTGCGCATGGCGACCAAAAGTCGGAGAGGAGGAGGAGGAGGTGGAGGAGGAGGAGGTGGAGGAGGAGGAGGTGGTAGAGGTCGCCAAGGGGTCAGCAGCCGGTCATGGCCGAGGTGTCACCCTGAGCCTCACCAGAACTGGTGATTTCCCAGGGGCTCCCAGGGCTGGTCCTTGAGTTCATGCAGGGCTCCCCGTTCCTCCATGAAAAGGCGTTCTGGGTATTTCCCTCCCCTCTCCACTGGAAAAAGGTATGCTTTCACCTCCGAAAACAATCCGCCGCGGTCGGCGGATAGCAAGCATGAAGTGCCAAGGATCTTTACTTAATCCAAGACTCACTACAGTAAAACCCAAGCCTCCTCTCCCCACAAAGCACGTGACGAACTTCGAAAACGCTGAACCCGAACCCCTAAACCCTAAACTCCTAAACCCCAAACCTAAATTCCAATCCCTTTGTCCCAAACCCTAAACCCGAGAGCTGAGCAAGGAGGGGGTGGGATTTCGGGGAGGGGAATCGGAGGGTCTTGGAGGGAACTTCTGACGCCTCAGTGTCGAGGCCGCATGTATCTGGGTTTAGGGTTTAGGGTTTAGGGTTTAGGGACGAACCAAGACCCATCGTTCATGATTTCGGGTATCGTTTTGGTGTCAGGGTTGGGGTTGGGGGAGGGGTTAATTTAGGAAACGAACCCACCAACTTGGGATGTTCCCCCTCGTCCTAACAGTCCTGAATAGGATCATATTAGGGGGTACTATAGTCCCTATGAAGGACGGCTTGTATAAGGGGGAACATCCCAACCACCAACCACCAACCAATCCTAAACCCTAAGCCTAAACACAAAACCCTAAACCCTAAACCCTAAACCCTAAACCCTAAACCCTAAACCTTAAACCCGAAACCCTCTTGGAGGACTTCTGGCACAAGGCCGTCTTCCGGGAGGAGATGTGTGTCTTCCGGGCGCCGCGCGCCGGGCTGGAGGAGAAAATCCCCTTCACCCGCCCTAAAACCTAGAGGGTTTAGGGTTTAGGGTTTAGGGTTTTGGGTGTAGGGTGTATAGGGTTTAGGGTAGAAGCCTAAACCCGAAACACCCGTTTCGTTGAGGTGCAGTGGCTCGCCTGGCGGGCTGACGGGCAGCTAGAAGTAGGGCTGCACTCACCGCTAAAATATGGTTCTAACCGCTGCAAAATTCTCGTGTAGAATGCCGCAGAGAGCCCGTAGGCTTAGGTTACCCCGCATTTCCGAGGCCTCCACCCTACACCCTAAACCCTAAACCCTAAATCCCTCAACCCTAAACTTCTCTTTTCCCTGAGGGCTTTCTGGCTGGCGTCCGGGACTATGAGCCCGAGGCAAGGATTGCGAAACTGTTTCGGGATCCAGGTGTTGATGCATATTATTATTATTATTATTATTATTATTGTTATTATTATTATCATTATTACAATTATTCTAATTATTATTATCAGGTTTATTATCATCATTATCATTATCATTATCATTATCATTATCATTATCATTATCATTATCATTATCATTATCATTATCATTATCATTATCATTATCATTACCATTATCATTATCATTATCATTATCATTATCATTATCATTATCATCATTATTGTTATTATTATTGTTATTCGTATTATTCGTATTATTGTTATGGTGATGATGATGATGATGATGATGATGATGATTGTTTTTGTTCTTATTCTGCTTTTCCTTTTTTTTGGGGGGGTGGGGGGGTGGGGGTGGGGGGCGGGCTTGGTGGGAGGCTGGGAGGTTTAGGGTTCAGGGTTCGGGTTCCCAGGTTCAGGGTCAGCTTAGAGCTGAAGGGGGGCGGCCGGCCCTCGAAAGCCCTGAAGCCCTGCATGTCCAAAACCTTGAAGGCCGGATAGGGTGGTGATTAGGGTGGTGATTATGCATAGAGGTACCTCTTCATACAAGATACATAGGTATACATATATATATATATAATATGTGTGTATATATATACACACATGGAGATGGAAATGTGCCACAAGCAAATAAATACACACACCTACATGCATATACATACCTCTGTACATACCTCTACACATACCTATATACATATGTATATGCAGATGTTTCTTTGACATTCAGCATCTTCGCGGCGCGCCCCAGGCAGAACAGCTGGGCGCAGATGGCAGAAGCCTGCCAGACGGCGAGGCATGACGCGCCTGGCGAGTCCTTGGGGGCTGCATGAACCCCCGCGAAAGCCCTAAACCCTAAACCCTAAACTTGGCCCTAAACCCCAAACCCCAAACCCTAAACCCAAATTAAACCCCAAACCCTAAGCCTTAAGCAACTTAAACCATACACCCTAGGACGGGTTTAGGCATTCGGGTGGTTCTCTGATTTCTCGGATCTTCCTGAGTAGGCGTGCCAGGAAGGGGGTATGGTTCGGGTCAACACCCATGATGTGTTTTTTTGGTTTCCTCCTCCAACAGGCGATATGCGGGTAATCAGTACAAGCACACCCGCCATGTGGTGCCTTTTTTTCGATTCATGTCGCCCCCCTAAGCCTAAGAATCTCAACAGGCAGCTGCCATCGCGACATCCAATCCAGTTTTTTTTCTGGAGTCTTCTTCATCCTAAACCCATCCTAAACCCTAGACCCTAAATCCTAAACCCTACACCCTGAACCCTTAAAACCCTCTATGCGGCCCCCGCTTGTCAAGGCCATAATCCTCTTCTCGCGCCTCGACATCTTCGAGCTGCCAAAGGACGAGGCCTTCTGGTTCTGCAACTAATGTCAGTACGCCTAAACCTTAAACCCCAAAGCCCCAACCCTAGACCCTATGACCCTGAAAGACCTCACCGCAGCTCGGCCGGAGACCTGGAGCACTTAACTCCCAAGCCAAGGGCTCCGAAACTCTGCGGGCGTTCACTTCAGCAACAATAGGGTTCTAAGCTTAAAGGGTTTTTAGGGTTTTTGGGTTCAAGGGTGTGAGGGGTTGAAGAATGCGACGTCGTTGTCCGTTTAAGGGAATTTAGCATGATGGACATTTCCACATACTGCCTTGCGCTCCTTATGGGTACCGCTTTGGCGGTCCTAGTTCCCTCCCCCGATCACACATCAAGCCCCGAAACCGTGGCGCTCGGACTCCTAAACGCTATGCAAGAGATTCGAGGCAAGCCGCATGCGGGAGAACAAGTTCCACCAGCAGGCGAACGCCTTGCACACGACACCCGGGGCTACAGGCTCCAGCCGCCTGGTTTGCAAAAAAAAACCCGGGCCTTCAATTAAAGCCCCATAAACCCTGTAACCCATATGAAGTACAGACCCTATAAGCCAACATAAGCCCTGAAACCCTAAAGCTCTGAGAACCTAAACCCTTGCGGACATCATGTGCGGCCTTAAGCCTAATATTGACGTAGGACTGAAGCAGCTGAGGCGCACTTGGGTGAGGATCTAAGGTGTGCTGCTCCCCCGTGCAGTCTCTATCGTAGTATATATGATTGTTATTATTGGTGTTATTGTTGTTATTGT